CTGCGGCCTGCGGCTGCTTCCCGGAAAATCGGGCCCGAAAGCACCGTGTCCTCCCCGATAACTGGCATTTTAACTAACTATACACAAATAATTAACATATTATGAAGGGAAAGTTTCCTATTGACTGGCAAGGTAGGGCCTGAACTTCTTTCTATATTGTAAAATATAATCCATGTAAACATAAAACTTTGATAACCATAAATACAACCATGCTTATAAATACGCATCCAAAACAGAAAAATGTTTTAGAAACTAGTAAATAAGGAAGACCACTAATTAGAGAATTTGTGTCTGATGAAGGGCTTGAGGAGTATATATGACACCACAACGACCTGCATCCTCCCGTGAAAACCTCGTTCTAGAGAGTTGCAGTATCAATGAAACTCTCCCATTTAATGATTAAATTGAACATATTATTCAAATGGCACTAGAATAACTCATGCTTACGAATAAAGTAGATATTCTGAATACATATACTTTTAAAAAGTGAATGTATGGCTGCTTTAATTCTATTTCTCCAAAATTCTGGCAATGTATGATCAACCTCTATTCCTTTAAATACCTCAACTTCAGCAATATAATTCATTACAAAGGGGGAGCTTTACCTTGTGCTGAGAGCAACCTTCAGGTCTGTAAAACTTATGTCCAGAAACTGCCAGAAACGCTGTTGTCTTTGACTACTTTATTTGTTTACCCTCCATTATTTTCATTATTTCCTTAAAAGTGAAGCCTTGTGCCTGGATTGAAAAAAGGGGAATTTTAGATGAAAGGATTGCAGCAGTTTGGCCAGTTTTTTATTCATTTGCTGCAGTTCACGCAGAAACTAGAATTTTAGAATTGGAACTACCTTTCTTCCTACCCTCTCCCCTCCCTAAAAAAACAAACCAAAATTACGAATTAATTGAATTGCCTAATCTAGATCCTTGCTTAACAATGGCAGGCCCATAGAGGTGATTTACTCTTAGTTCTATCTAAGGATGCACTCTGGATTCTCTGGAAATTGCTAGTGAAAAGGAGCCAAAAATGCCCCAAGGATAAGGGCTCCTGCAGCTCTGCACCACACACATTTTTTTTGCATGATCTACAAGGCTGCTAAGTGAAAAAGCCGGTTCTCTTGCCGTGCTGACGGGTCCTCGCTGCGCCCAGCCCTGTTTTCTGCTATTCTGGAAAGCTGCCGATACCTCTGTCTAGGACAACTTTGATTAATCACCAGGGCACAATTTACTGCCGTGATACTAAAGACCACAGAGGTGACAGACGTGCAGCCACTCACAGACACTTCGTCCTCTTGTAGGACACACAAGGAGGGAGAGTTTACAGGAGGGAGCACAAGGAAGGAGGAGGAAGGGAACGCGGGGCTCCCTGGAGCGGGACACCCTGCCCGGTGCCACCGGAGGTCCCAGCGTTGTCATGGATCGCTCGTGTCCACGCTGCTCCGCAGGGACGGCCGGCAGAGCCGGGCACTTCTCTACACAGTTACTAACTGGGACAGGCAGTAGGAAACGGCTCGATAAAAAATAACCATTCAAGTTAGGCAGTTGGATAAAAATGCAGGGATTTAAGCACAAATATTCACTCAGATGGATCAGATTTTGAGAGGGAACCCGCAAACAGAAGTGATTTCTTGAGGAGTGCAATGCTAAAGAAAATGCACAGGCTATTCCTATTTGGAAGAAATTCCTACGTGTCAAGGTAAGCTACGCAGACCAATCCGTGCACACGTAAGCAGAACAGCACCGTCCTGTACGTTTACCTCAGCATGGTGCTCAGCGTTTCATTTTCTCTGTACAAGCTGTCATTTATTAAGAACATCACTATTTCTTCCCTTTGCTCTCTGCCAAGATCTGGAGAACTTCTACAAAATACTGAGCTGGCAGACAGCAATGATGTTTTCCATTAGAAAAAAATGGGGGAAAAAAGTATAAACAATCCATCAATGCTAACACTAAAATTCTCCTTTTAAATCACATTGCTGGGGTATTAAAATCCACAGTGGTTCCTGCAATACTTAGGTGTTTGGTTTTTAAAAATACTTGTAATGTTCTAACATGCACTAAGTCAGAGTGGAGTTCTGATAATATTAATATATAATGAATCATTTTAAATATTGCTTCTGGAAGTTGCTTTGTTCTGTTTCCCATAAGTGAATCAATGAGTGATGACAGTCCCTGGGCTTTTATGGGGCAACGTTGGTAAGAAATAACCTTGGAGCCATGAACCAAGTGTGAGGAAAGACCATTTTGGGGGAGTTGAGAAGAAACTGAGGGAAGATGCTGACGAGCTGTGTAAAGTTGCCAGGACTTAACTGCACGGGTCTATGTGTATTAGTGCTGCTCTGAAAAGCTCTGGGATTACCAGGTCACACTTACCACTGCGCTGCTTCTTTGACGAGAAGCATCAGGCTTCCTGAGCCTGGATGGTGTCCTTGGCCTTGGATCTGCAATTAAACATCATGGTGAAGATGTTCCTCACACCTGGGAGGCTGAGCACTGAGCTGCAGAAATCACTGTTTTTGTAGTCTCATCAGTGAGAGCTAGTCCAAACGAGGCTTGGGGGTTTGCTCCTGTTTCAGGAGAGCAAATAAATAACCCAGAAGAGCACAGATTGGTCATAGAACTAATTTAAAAATATGCCTGTGTCTGTGTAATATTACACTGATCCCAATTATACAAACACAGAAGTACAGAAAACTATGTTAAGAGTGACCCAAACATTAGGTAAAGTATCTTGTGCCCTATCACACTTTACCAAAGTTAGAAAAAATACGTATTTTAACATGTGAGCTCTAGTTTCTTAACCTCAATGATGCTATCTTGGATGATGAAGAAAGAATAACAAGGGATTCCACAAGTGAAGATTCAAAGAACATTTATCATCCTCCAAAAGGGATGATTCCCTAATGGGAACATCCTGAATCTATCCTTCCAACTCTCATCCAAGTATCCTTCCCTAGGAATATTGCTAAACTCCACAGATTATATTGAAGTACAGGCTCTTAACTTTGGTCTTAAACTGCACAAAGTTTAGTCGCCCAAGGGCTTTGTGTGTTTAATGCAGCACCAGAAGCCACCAGACACACACACTGCTATTATGAGAAAACTCAGACACTGATCTCTGAAGTACAATGTCCAAAGCACACCAGGAACTGATACAACTGGTGAAAAGTGCAAAACACCAGCAGAACTTAACATACTCACTTTTCTTGCATCTCTTACCGACACCTATTTACAAACAGACACTCTGCAAAGTGTGGCAGAACTGCCTGCACCCCGGGAGAGCTACGGTACCTGTCACCATGGTGCAGGTGGGCCTGGAAGGAGGAATCTCACACACGCTTGCAGGAAACACCATCACCACCACCACCGCTTGTAGACACACGAACAACAAGGCATCTCAAACAATGTTTTCAAATTTAATAACTCAAGTTGCAATTCTGCAGTACAAGGAACTTAATATTTCTTTTCTTTAAAAAAAATACCAATTTCGACATAGTTCTGCTAGTAAAACTAAAGTTGTGTCTTTTTTTTAAAAGGAATATTTACAGAACTTTAATAAAAAACAAAGTAAGACTTAAGCACAGGAAAAAATAAGAACTTATGATTTAACTATTAAAACTAATAAGGCTTCCCTACTGCTGCACTGATCACATAGAAAGGATAAAATAGAAAGGATAAATACAGTTATAAAAAGATTTATTTTTGCATTTGCAGTTTTGCAAAAGCATCTCCTCATTTAGGAAGCACTATACATACAGGCAGATCTATTTAAACAGATATCTAGGCTATACCTGTAAAAATATATTTCTATACTATTAAAATTCACTGATTGCTTTACAAATCGGATTTTTAAACTCAAGTGCAACATCAATTTGTATTTAAAAACCTGCAGTTTCAATTACAGAATTGATTTAAAAGCCAGCTCTGCAGCTGTAAATACTAATATCTTGTTTTTGTGCTTGTTCTTGAGCTTGATCTTGTTTTCCTGTCTGTTCCTCCCACTGTCTGCTGGGTTGTTCTATCCCGTTTGTCAAGTTGTTCTTTAGTTTTGCTTCTTTTTCCTTTTTGTAGAGAGCTATTTTCATCATTCTCTGTTTGTAGACAAAAAAATAACTGTAAGTTTGTATCATAAATCACACATCCTATGTAACATTCAATTCTCAGTTACATTGTTTTTAGAAGAAATGTCCCTAATGACTACATTCCAAAGATTACATCTATGAACAAACCAGTTACAAAACCCACATTTCTGTATATCCAATATCCTTTAAGACAGATCCCTGAGGACTTACAGCTATTTCTGAAAGTAGGTTAACATTAATGAGAGCACCAAAACCAATTAGCTACTATTTTAGCTAAAACCCCTTTTACTGATATGTTAAACTAAAACATACCCAATACTGACGTAAAATGCTGCAGAAAATGAATATTTAGTATGTTTTTATGGTCCAAATAGAGCTTGCAAGTCAGATTTTCATTGTAAAGAATGGCCACCTGTGCTAAACAGCACAGGAAATTGAGGTTACTCCAGGAGAGAAGCATTAGCATCAAACATGGAAACTCCCATTAAAAAACCCCGGAGAAGAGATGAGCTCCCTGGAAGAGAAACCAGCCAGGCAGGTAAGTGAAGCACAGGGAAGCACTGGAGATGGGTGCAGTGTCCTTCTGGCAAGTACACAGAGCAGGATCAGAGGGCAGAAACTAGCACATGTGTAAAGAGAGGAAGGAAAAGTCCCTAACTTTAGACAGAAGCAAGCCAAAATAGAAGGACACGTTATAGGAGGTTAAGGCCCACGCAAAAAATGTGAAAGAGGCAAAGAGAAATGAAACAGAAGAAACCATCAACAGCAGTTCACAATAGGGGTTTTACCCAAGGAATCCTTAAGGGTCAGTCGTTATCTCCATTTGCATATATTTACTAACATATTTCTAATTATTTCATATTTGTTTTTAAACTTGCATCCTATATAGCTGAAAATTTCAGAGAATATTTTGAACAGTGATGGCAAGAATTATATTGGCTTTAGGAAAGTGAAACAGAAAGGGGCAAGAAGAAGAAACACATGGAACCTGTGCACAAAGGTTCCCCAAACACCAGGGATATGGGAGTAGCAGCTCAGAT